AAGTAATTTGCAATGACTCCTGATTAGTACTGTGACGAGTGTTTTAGAGAGGCGTACTTCTTTCACCTCTTTGGGAGAGCAAAGCTAGTGTGACCATTTGTTCAGTGAATCAATGCCATATTGCTTTTAAAATTTAGGAACTGCAGCTCATATGGGATCTGGACTGCCAAAACCATGCAGTTATGAGCACCTGAGAAAGCTGCTTTGAGCTTCCCAGGCAGGTCTGCACTTCATCACAATCGTTATTGCCTCTGTGTTACTGTTGTATCACTGAGGTCAAGCTTAAGGCCTCTTTGAAAACTAGCTTCTCTTAATTATTTTTAAATGACAAGATAAGCAGCTACTCTCAAATGACTTTAGGAAAATTAATCAATTTAACCTTAAAATAACCTTGCGAGGAAAATCAATTGCCATTATTTCTGTATGAGAAAAATGGAAAAGAACCCTCCTCAGAGACAATATTTTACATAATTTGCTCAAGGCTGCACAGGAAATGTAATTTGTGAAATTAAGAAAAAATACTCATATTTCTGTAAGAATCACAAAAGTGTCTTCTTCCTTTGTGTTCTGCTGACAAACTGCAAGCGTGGGGAGATTATTCATTTCCCTACTGTGGATCAAAAATAAACTTTCTTCTGAACTCCTTGTTTTAAAGTGCATACACAGTATGTCCTTTTGTGATCCATGCTATCAAGGCTAAGGTGAGTTCAGTCTGCAAAAGGGGAAAGTGCTACTGTGAATGTACCTACCACTTACTCTCTTTCTAGAGAGACAGGAAAAAAAAAGTCATTGATTATTTCCCACAAGCTGGAATTGTGTTTAATCTGTTTTGTTTGTCTGTTTAAGAAAAGTGGTTAGAGTTGACCCTGGATGACTAAAAAAGTGATAGCTGTTGTCATGAGAGTCGGTCTGCAGCTAGTCTGGAGAACTGCATCACTTCTGATGGTGAGCCTGCTGGCAGCTTGTGAAAGAAGTCCAAACTCAGGTCTTGGTAGATGGCAGTTGTCAGTAAGGAGCAGCTTTTCATACATTGTGTTCATTAGAAGCTAATCTCAGAGTAATTACTCTGCACCTAACTAATTAAATTTGCACTGGTCTCAAGAGGAAAAGCAGGCAGTTTCCTTGGGACTCTCTATTAATAGCTTTTAGGAACTTGTGTAGAGACTCATATGCCCTACAAATGATGAAAAATATGTTTTGCTGTAAGACTTATTGCAATGGGATTCTTGTACACAATAACTGTGAAAGCCTATATTGATCACTGTTTGTTTCTTTACTTTTATTTTAATATCTGGAGATGCTGAATAGCGTAGCTTTATTTTCTCTTTTTGTCTTAGATAATGAGAACTTTTAAGTAAATGTCATCTGTTTTCTCTGGCTTCATTGCTGCTTCCATTGCTTCCTCCCAGTGCTTCTCTCTCTTGCATCAGAAAAGAAACTCCTTATCTTATTTTTCTTGTAGAAAAGTCAAAGATAAAAACGATCCAGTCTAAACCAACTGCTGAAAAAATCAGAAACTGTCTCATAGACCTCCGTCTCTTCTCTATCCCTATCTTTCTCTCTGTCTCTATCTCTGTCTTTACCAGAGATATATGGGTGAAAAATGATGTTACAGAGAAAACTAGCTTATTTTTAACATTTAACCACTTTGGTGTACTGATTTATAGCTTGGCCCCAAGAAGCTGTGCTACAAATACAAATGCAGGACCAGTGAACTGCAGCGAGGGTTTGGGGAATGAGAGAATCAGGCAACCTTGAAAGACAACCTCTCTGCTAAGTTAAAGGTCTGTGAAGCAGTATCCTCAGGCAGTTTGGATCTCTAGGAAGTGGTAAATAGCTACAAGCAGCATTTTAGATCTCAGCATTCTCAGAGATGTTGTTTTTCCTTCCTACAGATTCTAGTTTCAAGTGTTTACAGAATAATCACAGTTTCTATTTAGACATTTCCAGCTCTCAAGATTTCAGCCTAAGAAGTGTCCTAAATGAGCATGGCTTTGAAACCTAGAAGCAGAAAAAACGAGGGAATATTTTTGCCATTGTGCGACTTAAGAGCCTGTCTTGTAGTTTTAGGCAAATCCCACTGCTGACACTCCAAGGCTTACTGCAGAGGTGCTGAGTGGCCGTGCAGGATGCTCCTTGTGCCAAGGAGAGCTGTCAGGTCAGACCGTGATGCAGCAGTCACAAGTTGGGGCAATCAATTCCAAACATCTCTGTGCTGTGAGTGCAGCATAAAGCATCATGGTGCATCTCAAACACGTTTCTCTCTCTCTCTCTCTCTTCCCAAATAACCATTTTCTGTATTCTTCTTTAATCTTGACAAAGCTCAGGAAAAGAGGAATAATTAAAATGCCCAGTTGTTTACAAAAAGCCCTTCTATATGTGGGCCTTCTTATGACTGATAATTTCTGACGTTCCAGGAATCATTTTTATTCTCTGCATGCAAAAGTTCTTGGCAAACACACTAGTTTTGTACAAACATGCCACAGTCCACCAAGTGTAAACTGAATTTATTAAAACAAACTGAGAGGCAAGGCACAATTAATCTCCTTCTCTCATAGTCTCACATGCTTCTCTGGAGTATTCTCAGCCAAAAGGTTTGTAATCACCCTGCCCCACAAATTACATACATTTATTTTCTGTTTCTATAACCTTTTCCATCCACAGATATTCAAGAAATTAGAGCAATTTTTCATTCACAAACCCTCATGGTGCACTGGATATCTAGTGGTAATATCCTCAGGGTATATCATCGTGGGCAAGTGCAAGCAGGACATGTAATAGGAACTTAATGACAGAGCTGAGAGGTGAACCCAAATTTTAAAATACCACCTCCACCTGCAGTCTTCTGCCCCAGGTGTGTTACACAACCTGATTTTGAACATTATAGACAGGACATAAAATTTTATACCACTGTTAACACTTTGTGCTCAACAAAGTCAATAAAGGAATTAGCAAAACCGTCTTCAGCAGAAAAATAGTATTTTGTCTCCCATTGTAGCTGATTTGTACCTTGTACAAATTACCTGTACATTGGTAATGACCTGTACATTGTACCTGTCATGTCATTGTACAATGACAATGCAAAAGTGCAGAGTGCCGGGCAGATGAGGAATACAGGTTTCTGGATTTCTACATGTGTTAGCCAAGTTTTTTTTTTTTTTCTGCCTATCTGCTTTGCTTCACTTTTAGGAACATGAATTCCTTGTCTTGTAGGAAGTAAATACTCATATTTTTTTTTTCTCTATCCAAACTTGGAGTCCACCAATTCCTTTTCCAGGAACGTCCCAGAAAGGCTGGAGAAGAAACATTATTTTTACAAAGAATTTGCCATAATGATAATATGTTAGCCATGTTTTGAAAATGTTCAGCACCAGAAACTTCAGAGGAAAGTGGAAGAACTTGTTAATTAGTAGCTAGGTGTAGGTCCTCACAGTGATTACATAGGATCCAGTTCTTAGTAATACTAACTCTGTAAGGAGAGACCTTTTCTTGCTGTCTGTGGCAAATATGCATTACTAAGAAATAAGATACTATTATAGCATTTGTTTTGTTGTTTCTTTACTTGTTTCCAAGATCCCCCTTAGATACAGATTTTTTATCCTAACTTTGCTGCAAGGGCCTCCAAGCTTTGGAACATATTACAGCAGTCAGAAAGGCAGATCTTGTGTCCTTTTTCTGCATGGTAGGTACTTCAAATTAACAGTGGGAGAAACACACGTGGGTGGTTTAGAGGAAAAAATCACCCTTGGAAAATTATCTGACTGATCCCGAAATGAACTGGAAAATTTCATCAGATCTGTGACTTTTTCTTGTTTCTATTCTGATCAAAAGTGGCAAGTGCTTTTTCCCCATGTACTTTTGGTTTCAGCCTCCAGTGTATCTTGGAAAATGAAAAAGGATCAAGTGAAAAAAGGCTGAATATGAAAACAGTTTGATTGAGACTCCTGTGTGCTATTGCCATGCAAATGATTGGGTAATAAAAAGTAATAACTACAAATTCTGAATCAAGGTTGATTTATAGATAAAAGGTTCAGATTCGGTTGAATATAGCAAATTATTCTTACTTGTTATTACATGCTGTTTTCAGAGTGGCTTCTCTTTTGAAGCTAGCTCAAGACACAAAATAGGAAATCTTCGGTTTAAGCTTTGCTGGTTTGAGTTGAGTAAAAATTTCTGCAAACTGACATTTCATGCTGCTTAGTGAACCAAATTTGCCTCCCCGCTTCAAAATAATACTCTTGCATTGAGTGGAAGACTACCTTCATAGTCTAATACAAAATAAAATTTTAGTTTTAAAGTCACGATTGCTCCAAGAGCTAACTTGATGAAGTAGCTCACGCTGCCTTAGAACAGCCTGATGCAGAGAATTCCCAGGTGGTGTCCCTGAGCAGCAACACTTAACAGAGCTACTTGGAGCAAAACAGTCTGATTTGTTGTTGTTGTTGATAAATAGTTCACCTAAAATACCCTGGTAGCACTGCTTCTTTGTTGGTGCCCATTACTTTCAGCCAGCGTGAGAAACACAAGGCACAGTTCCTTCTAGGCAGCCTGTGCAGTTTTACTTGTTTATCCTGTTTCCTTCAAATGGTGCATTTATCGCACCTTTGGGAGGAAACTTTTCTGCTCCTTCAAGCTTTGGACTTGCTGTTATAAGTTGAATTGTGTTCTGTTCCTTTATATCTAAAAAAAAATTTAGTTCCTTCTGGGTACTTCTAAATTAAAGCTGTTCCAAGTACTACTCCATATAGTATTCTGTTCAGGCAGACAAGAACAAATAACACCAAAGCTCAGGTGTGGAAAGAATTTTAAAAAGTATTTGGATAATAGGTGATAAAGATACTCACATGCAGCACTGTCAAACCTTCATTGATTTCAGCATATGATGCGTATTTGATCTAGTGTGATACTGCCAAAAAAATCCCCCTGTAAGGTTACCAGCTCTGCCTATCAATTGTTCTATATTTCAGCTGATTATTCTTTTTTTTTTTTCCTTTGCACAGAGTGACTGAGAAGATGTGTCATAAACGAATACACCCTCTAGCATAAAGGGGAAAAGGTGGGTTTCTGCACTTTTCTCTTTGTTTAATTGGCCATTTTCTTGTGGAAAGGGGAAGAACAAGAAAAACAGTGACTTGATTTAAACAGCATTGGCAGGTGTAAGCATAAAGGCAGTTTCACTGTTGTCCACAGAACAAGCTTTACACTAAAGGGCTCCATTGAAGCCGAAGCCCATATAATTAGATTTCATCAGCAGAAGTACTTTCTGGTGCAATTGGCTTGTAGCATTATCATGCAAATAACACGGAGTGCTAAAACTGGATCCTAACTGTAAAACCACCAAACTAATTTGATGTAGCAAACACATTGCAATGAATGATAATCACCAGTGATTGCAGTGAACTTCCGTGATTTCTTCCCATGCTTTGTACTGCTTTTATGCAACATTCTTCCTGAGGACAACTTCAGCTTGGAAATTGTCCAGAGGATGAGCTTTCTGCTGCCTGAGTTTTGTGGTGTTTTTACAAACAAACATCGGTGACTTCAGCAGGAGCACAACTCATGTAATCATAAAGGTAGACTGGCCTCTGAGGGGAACACAGATCTGTTCAAACTGATCAGTCTCATTCAGATGATTTCTGAAGATGACAAATGGGAAACATGGAATGTCCAATCCGTTGACATTTTTAATAATTTGTACAATATCTTAGGTAAAAGAAAGCATGGTAGCTTCACAGTCCTGTCATGCAGCTTGCATTTCTAGGTAGAGAAGAGTCCTTTTTGCACCATTCTTACAATTAAGAGTGCCCTTTACAATTAAATATTCACTGTCTGATGTGTCTCATGCCTCGACTCCCTGACAAAGAGTCCCTCCCCAGCTTCCCTGTAGCCCTCTTTAGGCACTGGAAGGCCATTGTAAGTTCTCCCCAGAGCCTTCTCTTCTCCAGGCTGAGCCTAACTCCCTCAGCCTGTCTTCATAGGATTTTATGTCTGGTCAGTTTACCAACATAGATGTTGGAGACACCTGGATAAATTCTTATTTTGGAAACAGCTGTGGGTCTGATCAGGAACGTTTGGTCAGGAATTAGCAACACCCAAAGCAAAAAGAAGGCCAATGCTTCAGCAGTTTGTGTATGGTCTCTCTTTAAGCCTCAATTATGGGATTGTTATAACTGCAGAAGGTGGAGTGCAGAGGGATGACAGATCCCGCGAAGCTGTGTACCCGTGACTTGGACATCCCAGACAAACTCTGCAGAAAGCTGCAGGATTTCTTAATCCACTCTAAAGGTAGAAATTCTCCAAGGAAGCAGAAAATACGTGCTTATAAGCGTAAAGCTCTTGCTATAGCAAGAGTACTGAAAACAAATCAAGAAGATATTTACAAACATGGCGTCTTTTAGCCCAGACACCAGTGACGTAAAACCTGTATGCAATATGGAAGGAAAAACAGGGTGGGAATTCGTGAAAAATAAAAGATGCAAGGCATCCTGTCACTGATCCTCAGCCTAGTATCATAGCTGCTCCTTGTTATTACCTGCAGAATAACAGAGCAAGATTCATCACAGCATGCTTTTTCATAAGTAAAGAAGAGCTTATATGGAGATCACACACCCAGTGATTTTCAGAGAGTCCATCCAGGATTCACTTAGAGCACTGCAGAACAGCACAGTGAGCAACTCTTCTGCTGGGGCATGCTGATAAAAATTATCACTTCTGCTAATAAGAGTAGCCTTTACTGGCTTTGTGCTTTGCTGCTCCAGTAGCATGGTGCACTTGGTATCTCTCCACCATCTCTCCCATATTCTTTCCCATCTTGTGGTGGGGAGATTGTATGACAACACAGTTTGAAATGCTCTCACTGCCTGTGCAACTTCTAGTGCAGCTCCTGTATTTTCTCAGCACGAAGCACTTACAGCAACATGCACTGGCATGGGAAACATCATGGGATGCTCCGTGGCCACCCCAGGAGCTTGGGCAAGCCTTACAATCTGCTGTCAGGTGTCGAGGTGTTTTAAGTAGCTGTGCCTGCAGAACCACAGCGCTCTGTGCAGTGCACCAATGTGCCCGGTAATGGTTGGAAATGATTACCTGCAGTCCTTGCAGATACCAGGATAATGCGGCTTTCATTGCTGCCTCTCATCTTAGAGAAGTCCATGGTACGGGTTAGGTCATGATATTCACACTTAGTGACCATAAAAGCATCTGTAATGTGGAAAATCTCCACCTGGATCAGAATCCATCAGTTTCTCCCGTGTGTGAGGGACTGAGAGGCCCTCTGTGCTCCGCTTACTGCCTCAAGAAATGTGGGTTTGTGACAGGCTGCTGATGACCGCCAGCTGAAAGACTTGAGGACACCAGTGGCATTAGGACCATCTCCTTAGCAGCCCGTGTGTAATGCAGTCAGAGGACCTCAGGCAGCAGACAACAAGCCCTTATCTTTTCTGTTTGCACTTTCGGATCATTACTAGAAGCTAACAGGCATGGCCTGAGTGTCATTCCCCAAGCCCCTGACCCCAGCAACAGCTGCATTCCTCAGAATAAAAAGGGAACTGCACAAGGCTGGCTGGCTGCTAAATCAAATGCCAGCCTGTCATTTACCTAGCCTATCTCCAACAATCTTGTGCTGTTGGAGGATGGAGAAGGATTGCCCAGAAATATTAGACTGAGTATTAGAAAGAAGTATTTTAGTAAGCACACAATAAGGAAAGCAGTAGAGAGGAACAATAACTTATCCTGATCTCTAAGTTAAACAGATTTATTGTCTGTCACTCCTAGCTGCATGATGTACAGCACTACAAGCATTAAGGGCTGTCTTTCTATCCCTTGTCAGTGCAACATCAATCAGTGCGGAAATCCCATCCACAGCTGGAGTTCCTATGCATTACCCACAATGTAATTAGCAGCTAAGAAGAACAGTGAGAGCCGGTCTTCTCTTGGCTTCCTTTCCACGTGCCTGCGGGTGAGTTTTCTGGGGTGTTTATGCCTGCCGTTCTTAAAGAACTGTGCAATCCTCCCTTCTTGAGCAGCCAGCCGCATACTTTTCAGAGTTTTGTCCACTGGTTAGAGTTTCATTGTTTATGTTATGAACAAAGGCAGCCATTCTTGTCCTGAATTAACCTGTAGATCATTCTCTGAGTAATGCAGAGCTGGCTGAAGGGATCAGGATTAAGGACACCCTGCACTGCATTGTCAGCTGATGCCACTGTCACAGTGGTGACACCTGAACTCTGAGGCACTCCGTGGCGCAAACCTGACATAAACCACGCACCACCAAGATACCACCAGTCCTGTAGCTGCAGTCCCCAGGAACTCCTCTGCCAGAGGATTTATGACCCAGGTTTAAATGTTCGTAGTATGAAATGGACACCCAGCATCCACGAACTCACACTGAGGGACATCAAACCAGCCCCCATACAGCTGTGGCCCAGCTCTTGTGAAGACCATAAATACAGATGAATTGTTTTACTCAGGGAAGGGGACAGAACTGAAGGACCCTAATGTTGAATTTATTCAGCAGACGTAGACATGCCTGACTTATAGCTGGATCATATGGAGCCCAGGTCTTTGTAATACCAAAAAATGAGGTTACCATTGCTAGGGTTATTTATATAAAAAATCAGGACTGGACATGTTCAGTTTTTCTTGATGTTTTGACAGAGTAATGTAATCGCTGGAAGGAAGAGTTCTTGTTGTTTCCAAACTGCTTATCACATGAGAGGCACAGAAATATGGACTGGGGACTGGATACTCCCTCTTCACTGTTAATTTCAAAAGAAGCTTTGTGGCTGAAATCAGCGGCAATAAAGACTGAGCGGAGCAGCTCCATCTTGCTAATGGGTGTTGCTATGGAAATGAGGAAAATTTGCTTGTTCTTAGAATTATAAGAACACACAGGATAATGAGGGAAAAAGCATACATTTTAGCAGTCAGCCTTAAATGATGCCATCATGCTAGACAGAAATGTGTAGGTCTGTCTATAGTTTTTATTCCAAAAGTTTGCCTGCCATAATTTGCTTGTTCCCTAACAGTTTAGCCTGAGCACTTCAAGCATCAGCCCTTGCAGATTGACAATGCAGCCACAAAGCTCCACACAAAGCTGGGACTCCAGCGGCTCTCCAGCAGGCTTTGCATTGTTTTGCCCAGTGTTTCCATGGGAACCTGACTCTGCTGAGAAAAGAAAGATTCAGAAACTTCAGCTAAGCCAGTTTAAAAGAGCAGCTGCAAGCTGCTCTTGTAGCCTAGAGGAGACAGAACAAAGGGGCTTTGCTAGGAGACAGGATGGAAGAAATTGACTCTTTTATTTTTTTTTTTAAAGAAAATATGTGTGCCACAAAAAATCAAGTTATAAGTTTTTAGTGTACTGTCCCCATCAGTCTGCACAGGGCAAAATTTAGCTGAAAGGTCAATTATGGCTCCTTTCGTCATTAAAAGTGCCGTATCAAGGGCAAAATTTACTTTTCTGGGTAAAGTGCATGCAATACAGACACTGATGTGAGACCAAGAAGCAGAAATCCATCCTTAGCTTTGTCCAGGGCTTAGAGAAAATACACCTGGCTACAGCTCAGGTCCTCCTTTGTAACACGCTGTATTTCTTGGACTGTTGATGTCAGCGATGACACCCATGTATATTGCACTGGCTCCTGCTCCTTTGTTACCAGTGCTAATGCAGGGCTTTCACACTAGGAGGACATATTTGCACGGAGGAAACACAAGCTGGGACAGTGCTTCCTAAGGTTTTGTTTGCTGGTGGGACTTCTGAACCTACCGAAACTGTTACCCAATGAAAGAACATTGCCTCTGAAATGCAGAAGACAATATACCATGACTTGGCAGTAGGCAAGGGTAAATGTGACTTGAAATGTATCCCATTAGTGAAAACAAATCTATAAATGAATGAAAGGCTCCATGGAATGAATGCTTCCATTAAAATCACAAAAGGGATCATATTTTTTTTTCTCAGAGATAGCTTATTAGTTTAGCATGGTGCATTTATTAAGGCCACAGTTTTATCCCAGAATTTTTATGATGAAACATTAATTGTAACATGAAAATTGGAAACCACTGTATGTACTAGTGAGTTTGTTCTCTTAACATTTTTTCTCTTAATGTTCACAGATAAATTCTACAAGTATTAAAGGAAAACGCGCTGAAAGGATATCTAAGGTACTAGTTTTCTAGCAGATTTGCTAATTTTTTTTCTTTGCTAAGAATTATTTGAGTTGTGCATTCCTGCTAGGTAGCAACTTTGATAGACTTAAAAAGTGTTTCATTGAATGTCTCTTACATAGCAGTACCTCAGGGAACTCCATAAAGGAATGTAATTGGCAAAAATACTTTGATACTTTTGCTAGCACATGGAATGACAACTGCGCCTGCCTTCCTTGTGACAAGCGACAATTGCGAAGTCTTTCTTGGACATAGCTTGGCATGGTAGCTTAGTTTTGCCAATAAACAGAATGCAAGACGAGGCTTTGCTATTCTGCCCTACTCCTGCTAATAAGAGGCACAGGTGAGAACGGGAGTGCAAAAGCTGGGATTTCTTCCTGCTTTGGATGGTTGGGTCATGTAGACGGAGAAGGACAACATCTGTGAGGAAAGAGAAGTTGCTGTCGTTACTCCATGCTGATTCCCTGTGCAGCTCCTCCTGGTCTTCAGTGTCAGCTGGCTTGAGGAGCCCTTTGCTGTGGTGCACTGAATGATATGCAGGCTTACACTCAGGGAAGGTTACTCACCTTGCCATGATACCGTGAGCTTGTTTTCAAACCGGAGTCAAGTAAAGCTGGTCCTGAATGTTGGCTTTGAGCGACCCTCTGACAGAGAGAGATGATGGTGTTGGGTCTGGAGGGACACAGCTGGACCGTTCCATGAAATTCAACCAAATGCTGATCTAACAGGCTAACGTGAGAAAAGTAACCTAGCCTAGGGTCAGTCACCTCTATAAATCAGCTCCATAAATCAGATCAATGCTTTTGAGATTCCTTTCTCCGAGTGTGACTTTCCGGATAGCTCAAAAGAATAAATAAAAATAAGACTTTGATTGTCATATTGCCATATGTGGTCCATTAAACTTTATACCTCAATTATCCTTTTGGCAAAATACTGCTAATTGCTACTTGCCTCACTGAAGTGTTCTGAGAATAAATCGTTCTTAATCATTCTACAGGTTGAAAAAGGATGCCTTTTAAATATTCAAAATGGGAAGGGAACAGTTAATTTCTGTGATAACATTCGCACAAAAAAAGGAGCAGAGTGTGGAAAAGATCACAGCTGAAGCGTGCTTCCCTGTGTGCACGCTCTGCAGTCATGACTTCAGGACGAAGTAAGCCAGGCACGTGAGGATGATGCCAAGACACCCCTGGCAGAATTTCCAGCGCTGCAGCAGTGCCTGCTCATGGCTCATCGGGAACAGGCAGGATCACAACAGGAAAGGCACAGGCGAGCAGGGGTTGTTAAACAGAGTTAAAAGAAGGCATCTTGTTGACTATTGCTTCATGTGGGTTTGGACAGTATTTTCCCTAGGCCCTCTTGAACACACCCTACCACTTGGGAGCACTTTCATACGGAGCGGTTATGAGATACTGTGGTTGATGAAGTCCTGTTAACAAGCTGTAGCAATATTTTTTAAATCTTGTAAGTAGAGCTCTATAGATAGTCATACACTTGCTAACAGGAAATGGGACACGGAGACATGGTTGCTTCACCTCTGTGATTAATGCAGCAAGTTCATACACCCCTGTACAAACAAGAAGTGGACAGAAAGAACCCATTGTCACAGCTGAAACTCACCGGGTCATTCCCCATCAAAATGCCACAGAGACAGCAAAACATCACAGAGCACTGGGGAAGATGTAAAGAGTATGGGGCTCAGAGATTTGTTACAAGGAGCGGCCTTCTTGAGTCAAATTCTCTTATGCTGCTGTATAAATTATTACAGCATGGGCTACGCTCAGGCGCAGGTAGGGATGATATTGTTTTAAAGTGCTGCTATCTGTATATACATTTATCATCTGTATATATGTAGTTACTGAGTTGAGATTGCTTTTTGCATAAATACAGAAAAGTTTTCACTTTCTAAAATGTGTGTCTGGTACTCCAGCTGAGCACCTCTGGGAATGCTGGTCCCCTGCCTAAAGTAAAAGTCAGATAATGCCAAACAGTTGTTGAGCAGTAGGGAGAAGTTAACACCTAGGTCAGGGCATCTCCTGTCTATGTTTTGCTTATGTCCACCAGCCAAGCAGCTGTCATTCAATTTCCCCATGCACTGAGTTAAACCGCATGTGGATAGCATTTCTCCTGTTCATTCTCCCTTCATCTAGAAACACGGAATTTAATCTGCTTGGAAGCAAAAGTTGTGGCCCCACTCCCCATGAGATCAATGTGGTTGAGTTTTTCTTAAGCTCTACCAAATTTCACACCAGTTGAATTTGTGTTCTCTGACAGTGTTGAAAATCAGCTTTTTTTTTTTTTTTTCTTTTTTTCCCAAGACCTGTGATTGTAAAATATGTTGCATAAAAATGAAATTCTTACTTGCAAGAAGGTTCATCAGAAGTCTGCCGTATAGAGTGAGAAGAGGAAGGCAAGAGAGTGTTAGGATTAAAATATCACTTGCCATCTGGGAGAGCTTAATGAAAAAAGCGAGATATGGACACAAACTTGGAAAGCTTTCCTGACAATGTTTAAAGGCATGACTCTAAAGACTTGCAGATGATGTAATGCCAGGACTCAGGTTAAAGCCTGTCATAGGAAAAACATCTTGTGGGGTGATAGCGACTATGGTCTTGGTGGCAGAACAACACTCTTCCCTGATTAGAAAGAAAATCCTGCTCCATTCTGAGCCAGCTGCAAATCAGCATGGCATGGCAACCCTGTCCGTACTGCAAAAAAATGAGTTTTTTCTAGATTTGTTACACTTAAAAAGGTAGAATGAAAATAAAAAAAAAACATAAAATGCTGTAAGATGGAGGAAAAAGTAGGAAAAACAAGTCGAAGCTTTGGGAAGGAGGGGGAGATTTGCTTTCCGTGTACTGCTGATGGCATGGTTGGCACCAAAGGCGTTGTAATCACAGCCATTGCAGATATCCAAGTGTATGGTGCAGATATTCTCAATAAGACTCTTAGGGCCGTGATGGCCCCTAGTGCTGCACTTCATTTCATATCAGCAGAAACACGTACATCTGTGGGCCAAGCATTCCTGCAGGTCGCTGTGCCAGCAGGGCTGCTCGTTCATTGCACTGAGAATCGTTTCGGTGGCCAGGAGTGCTCTGTTTGGTGAGCTGCACACATGGGCTTATTGCAGGCACAGCGCACACGGACACACGCACATGGGATTCGGAAGAATGACAACATGCCCCGAACCTATACAGCAAATTTCCAAACTACCTTGCCACATATTTATTTATTTTTTTTTTCTGAATGACATTCTTACTACATATTCTGGTGACTGTCAAGGTTCATGAGTGCCCACACCTCCCTGGCTTGCTCCACTTTTCCTGTTGCTTGCTTAAGCAGGCTCTGCTGTAATAACAAAAATATTTGTATCGATTTGTTTTTAAATTCTAACCTTTTATTTTTGTTTACATGCTCTACCAACCTTCCATTTATTTATTTATTTTTTAGTTTTTTAATCCTGGCCAGCAGCAGACTGGAGATGGTGAGTAAGTGGGGACAGTGGGAAAGTGTTAATTTGCTAATTTTGTAAATAGCTCAAACTCAGAACTACATTTGTAGTGTTATATGGTGTGTATTTCTCAGTATACTGCTATTGCTTTCAGTTTTATTTGTCTTATTCTAGAATTATCATAATAAAACTGATTGAGCTACTGTGCTTAGACATGTTTTGAGACGCAATCTTTATATTTGATACTTGTTACTTTGCTGTAGAGAGACTGTGAAATGGATTTCTGATGGGGTCTGCTTTAAAACTAACTGCAAGTTAGTTGTAACCTTGATTTCTCTTCTTTATCTTCCTCTCTTTGTTTATTGCCTGTGTAGTGTCTAAAATCTGACCAGAGCTCCTTGAGGAACAGTCTGGTCTCTTTGTACTCTCTGCAGAGAGTGCAACACACTTTGAGTAGAAGGGAAAGGAAATTGCAATAAAGAAGCTAGATAGTTTTGTGTGCAATGCTATTAGACCACACTGCACATTTATAAATCACGTTAACTTGAAATGATAGGCTTGGAAACGGCTTTCCTAGCCCTCAGAAATGCAGTTGAAATCAAGGAATAGTGTATATAAGGAAGGTCATTGATGTTCTTTGTCTTTAAGGAAACGACCACCTGCTCAGCAAAGGCTCAATTACATACATACAGGTAAAGTTGCAAAAGGTTACAGACATAAATGAATTTAAAGTGATTGGATGTGCAACATCCTGTAGTTAGGTACGTTACATAGGTTCATGAAAGCAGAATGCAGTTTCGTTCTGTTTCCATTTTATGCACACTACATTTTCTTATGCACTGATCTGTCTTTAAAACTTCTTTAATTTCTAGGATAAATAATGAAAATTTCCCTGATTCCTTGGGATCAGGCTTTTTAAAATACTGGTTTTCTGGCATACTGGGCCAGGTTTAGGCTGGTGTAGCTGCAGCCAGGGTTCAATATTCCCCAATAACTGGCAGTGCATCACTTCAGTCTGGAATCACTTTTTGGACCCTGGTTGTAAAATTGCTGCTCACAGGCTGCCTGTCCTTTGGCTTGCAGCGTTACTCAGTATTTAAGAGTGATTCGGGGCCAGTCTGAGGGTTTTCTTTTTCTTTTTTTTTTTGCCTTTTGGGAAAACTGATTGCTTCATGCCGCATGTACCTTTACTGACCAATGCGGATTTGTTTGCCAGCCCCGCTCCTATGAGGAGATAACTGTGAAAACACTTTGCTGGTGAACAAGTTCCTGTTGGAAGCACTCTGCAGTTTCTTTTGAAGCCACACCTGTTCGTATCACACAAGCCTCTCAGCTCGGCCTCCTGCTCTCTCGTGGCATTGAGAAAGAAACACGTCACACCCCACTGGAAGGCAAGGCAGCGCTGCACTGGGTACACAAACACATGCCAGAGAGCTAACAGAGACTAAGTAACCTTGTCCGTGTAGCCAAATCATTGCTCTCACACACACACACACAAATATTTTTTAGCTGAGTAATATTTCTTATTGCTGGGGAAGCAAAGGAAGA